CACCACCAGCCCCAGGCCAGCTCCTGCTCCCTCTGCGGGCTCTTGGAACTGCAGGAAAACCCTTTTGCTGGCGTTATTAGTCATCAGGTGCCTTAAAATAGAAAATACGTGTGATCCCAGCCCTGACGAGCTGTTGGACCTCAGCACACAACCAGTTGATGTCGCCTGCCTGGGTTCTGTGGCCACTCTCTGCCACCGCCCTCACACCACAGGGTGGGAAGGTTGGAAGGGGAAAGCGCCTGTCCCCCCGGCCAGGCACAACTGCTGCAGGGAGCTGAGTTCTGAGCATCACTGCTGGGACCTGCCCTGGCTGGGGCATGCAACGCCCTCCTGGCTCCCCAGGGACCCGTCCTCATGATGGGCAATGGCCGGGGCTAACAATAGCGTGTCAGGAAACGCTGCCTTTGGAGGGTGCGTCCCCTGCCGCCACGCAGCACCCTGTGCTCCGGGGCGCATTTCCTTCACTCCTCACGAGGAACCTCCGAGGGACTCCTCAGCGCTGGTTTTCCAAGTGCTCTGGGTTCTGCCTTTCTGTTCCTGTCCAGTCCCAGGTGGATTTTTGCCAGCCTCAGGGCAGACACGGAGCACGTCTTGCCCCAGTCGCTGCCCCGTGGTTTTGCTTTCAAATTCCTGCTTTGTTTGGTTTCCGCTGGGACCAGGGCGGGGAGCGTGGAACCAGGCCTGACCCTTTGCAGCCCGGCTGCTCCTTTCATTTTCCAGCCGGGTGAGAAAGCTGGGTGCTGCAGAGGAGGAAAGCATGGAAACTACTCCCAGTTCCCTTTGCACTCCTCACCCAAAGCCTGGTAGGAAGGTCAAGATCAGAGAGCGGGCTGCGGGTTGAACTTAGGGAGAGGCAGGGACCCCTACACATCCCTGCTGCTGGGGTCAAGGGGGCAGAGCTCAGTGTTTGTCCCTCACGTCCACAGGCCCAACAAGCCAAATTCCTCAGTGATGTGGAGAACGAGCTGGAGGAGCTGGCAGTCACCATCGCACAGGCCAAGAAGATGGTGGAGCTCATTAAGGTGACTCTGTGATGGCTTCACTCCCTTAGCACAGCTCTGCTGGGTTGGGGAGCGGAGGTGGAGGTGCTGTGAGCTTTTGGGGCACATGGGGCGTAAGGGTGGTGCTCCCAGGGAAGAAAGTGCTCTGTAAAATGATGGTGACTCTGGCAAGGATCCCTGAGGATTCCTGCTCCTCATCTCTGCTAACTCTCACAGCATCTCTGGTTGCTTTGATTAGCAACCTAGAAGGAGGAACGGGGCAAGGACCATGCCGGGACATCTGCTGGCTCTTGCACATTCTCTCCCCAGGCTCACAGGGTTTAGGTCCCCTTTGGCCCTTGTGCAGATGTGTCACTTCACTGCCTGGGGACACAAAATTCGGTGGAGCAGTAAGCGGCCATGCCCAGCCTGGTCCCTTAACACCTGGGCTGTAAAGTGCTCTGTGCTCTTGGGTGTAGGGGATTAGAGATGTCAGGGGGACCCCTCAGAGCTGGGTGCTGGGCAGGGAAGAAGGGTGCTCTCCTCCACCCTGCCTGCTGGAGGTGGCCCTAACCCCTCTCTCCCTGCACACACAAAATTCGGTGGAGCAGTAAGCGGCCATGCCCAGCCTGGTCCCTTAACACCTGGGCTGTAAAGTGCTCTGTGCTCTTGGGTGTAGGGGATTAGAGATGTCAGGGGGACCCCTCAGAGCTGGGTGCTGGGCAGGGAAGAAGGGTGCTCTCCTCCACCCTGCCTGCTGGAGGTGGCCCTAACCCCTCTCTCCCTGCACTCAGGGTGCTGCCACAAAGGAGAGGGAAAGTAGTCAAGAAGCTCTTTGCAGAAGCCTCTGAGGTCCTGGCAGCCTTCCAGAAGGAGGTGGCTGGTTTCATCGAGGACGGGGAGCGCTCCATGCTGGGGGAGGCCGAGGCCGATCTCCGCTGGAAGGAGGAGAGACGAGCCAAGCTCACCCAGTGCAAGCAAAACCTGGAGAACGTCCCCAGCACCAACACCATCTACTTCCTCCAGGTGCCTGGGTGGGATAGGGCAAGGAGAAGGAGCTGATAACATTGTCTTTTGGGATTTTGTCCCAGTTCATATGGAGCTGGGTGCCAGGAGCCCTGGGATGTGAGAGCTGCAGAGTCTCACTCCTGTTGGCATAGGGTAACTCACAGGGTAACTGGGCAGCTAAGACCTTTTCCTCCATCATGTCCACCTCCATCCTGACTGTGACTCAGGAGAAGCTGATGTGCTGCCCAGGCTGAGTACCAAGGTGGGGGGGAGCAGAGAGCTAGATTTTGGGGTGCCCCACTGCCCCCATCGAGCATCCCCCCCTCCCCAGCAGCCCAGCAAGAGGAGACCTTTTAGGGAGGAGATGCTGCTCCACATGAGGTGGGCATGATCTGGGCCCAGGTTTGACAGGGAGCGAAGAGAAGGCGCCAGGAATGCGTGGCCGGAAAGTGCTCTCCTCCCTTATGCAAGGCTGTACGTGGGCCAAGTCCTGTGAGCTGCCAGGTCCCAAATCCTCCAGGGCAGGGTGGGGTTGCGGAACAAGAGACAACTTCGGTTTGTTTGAAACCTCCTGAAATTCTGTCTTTTTGTTTCAGGAATTTCAGGCTTTAAAAGTAGCCATGGAAGAAAACCTCTGCCCTGCTCTGAGCTTCCAGAACGAGCTGAACTTCACCAAATGCACCAAAGCTGTGGGTGCCGTGAAGGATGTGCTGTCTGCTGCCTGCAAAAACCAATGGGACCACTTGCAGGGGAAAGGAATTGATGGGCTGAGTTTCCAGGAGACAGAGGAAGGTTTGTGTTCACCAAGCCCCTCTGTCCAGACATCACCCTGTCACCCTCCATCCTCCCCACGTAGATGGGAGATGGCTGCAGGCTCGGTGGCTCCTCTGAGCACTGGCCCGTATCCCACCAGCCCTGGAAGCTGTCTGGCATGGTTGTGCCGCACGTTGCACAATCCCTGTCTGGGCTTACGCCTCGTCTTTCAGGTTTTATGAATTTTTCCACAGAGACTGGAGAGGCAACAAACAGCCTGGGAGTTAGGCAGGGCACTGTGGGAAGGGGCAAGTGGCCAAAGTGACCTCCCATGAAAAGGGACTCTTTCTTCCCAGGATAGATGATCTTTTTCACGGGGCAGGTCTCCCAAACCTGCCAGGGTTAGAAAGCCACTGTGGCAGCTTTCCCCTGCGCTCTCTTGTGCAGCCAGAGCTCCCTCCTCTCTCTCATTTTCTTGGATGCCTGTGGGAATTGCAGCCTGCTCCTTGACCCCCCTCGCCCACCTCCCTGGGGTGACAGAGGTGGCATCTGTCCCGCCCCGTGTGCGAGCGGGCAGGGATGTGCAGGGGGAGCTGAGGACGCTGGCTGGGGCTGGGGGGCCGCAGCAGCCGGGGAGGGGGGTGAGGCTCCAGTAACACCCCTGTTTGTGGCATCGGTTTCCTCGCTGGTGGCAAACCCTCCTGTCCCTGTCTCTGCAGCATTGGCCGAGTCCCGATTTGCAGACAAGTCGAACAATCCCGCCTGCCTGGAGAGCCGCGATTACTTCCTGAAATGTAAGCGCGGGGTTTTGCTTTGGGGGTTGTTGCTAAGGTCCATCTTCCCCTTCCCCTCTCCCAGCCGGCTCCTTCCCGTCAGCCGGGCGGGCGCTGGGCCCGAGCCGACGCCTGGCAGGAGCTCTGCCCCCACCACAGGAAATGCTGCTCAGCCCACGAGGAAGCCTCCTTGCTTTCCTGACAACGGCCATAATCTGTTTAGGTGATAGTTGTTTTCCCTCGTCTGGTTCTGCCGGACCAGCTGCCGGGGGGCTGCAAGCGTGCTGTGTAATTTCTGCTGCCTTCCAGCCCGCGGTGAATTGGCTCCTCGGTGAAATGAAACCAGAGTTTGTGCCTCTGCCTCGTGTGCCGCCGAGCGGCGACCTGATGCGGGTCAGCTTCAGCAGCTGCGAGCAGAGACTGGGGGAAAGGGGCTGAGGCTGGAGGGTGCAGGGCTGGATTTGGGCTCCAACACCCCACACGTCCCCTCGCAGCCTGGGTGTTGTCCTGTCTTGTCAGGATCCCTCCCTGCTGTGTTTGTCTGTGGTTGCCTGAAACCACCTTTTATATGGGCTGTTCCTTCTACCGCTCCACGTACATTCTCTAATGTGTGCAATCATGGCTGAGCTCACCAAGCAGCCCCTCTGCACTCTCCTCTGCCTGGTTACCTGTACTCATCCTGCATATGGGATTATCAACTCTCAGCCCCTATTTTCATCAGCTGAAACTGGCTGGTGGAATTCAAAGCATGGAGACAGAGGGATGGTGGAAGTCAGAAAGGCTTGTGCTGATTGCCAAAAGCTGCAGCAAGGGACCATGGTGGGGAGGGATGGGGTCTCTTCTGCCAAATAACATGATGTAGGACAAGAGGAAACAGCATCAAGTTACACCAGGAGAGGTTTAGGTTGGGCATTAGGAACAATTTCTTACTTGAAAGGGTTGTCCAGGCCTGTGCCAGGCTGCCCAGGGCAGTGCTGGAGTCCCCATCCCTGGAGGGGTTTCCAGGCCTTGGAGATGTGGTGCTGAGGGACATGGTTTCATGGTGACCTGGCAGTGCTGGGTTAACGGTTGGACTCAATGATCTTAAAGGTCTCTTCCAACCTAAATGATTTTATAGATCTATTCAATGATTTCCTCCTGCTTCCCTCCTCATCCTCAAGTCTCCTTCTTGCCCCACTTAGTTGCCTTCATCATTGACCTGGACAGTGACACAGCCGACAAGTTCATCCAACTGTTTGGCACCAAAGGGGCCAAGCGGGTGCTGTGCCCCATCCCCTACCCAGAGAGCCCGACCCGGTTCATCAACTGCGAGCAGGTACTGGGGGTGAACCTCATGAACCGGGGCAACTACTACTGGGAGGTGGAGCTCATCGATGGCTGGGTCAGCATTGGCATCATCGCTGAGGACTTTGACCCCCGGGAGTCCTACAACCGTGGGCGCCTGGGGCGGAACGAGAAGTCCTGCTGCCTGCAGTGGAACGGACAGAACTATGTCGCCTGGTTCGGTGGCTTTGAGTCTGTCATCCAGCAGCCATTTTTCCACACAATTGGAGTCTTCCTGGAGTATTCAGAGAAGGCCCTGACCTTCTACGGAGTCAAGGACTCGAAGATGACCTGCCTGCAGCAACTCAAGGTCTCCCCTTTTGCCAAGGGTCAGTTTGACCCATTCCAGAACAAGATCAACCAACAGTTCGCCTCTCTTTTCTTGTGCAAGCTGAAACCAGCTTTCTTCCTGGAGAGCGTTGATGCCCACCTGCAGATCGGGCCGCTGAAGAAAGACTGTGTCTCGGTGCTCAAGCGTAGGTAACTGCCTGGAGATGGGGGCACGGGGAGACCAGGCAGAGTCTCTCCTGCAGCTGTCGCCACCTTCGTGGCTTCCCTTTGGTAGCGTTGTAGTTCTTTCTCTGTGGCAGCCCTCCCTCCTCACTCTCTGCTGGTGCCGCCCCAGGGGTGGGTGAAGCTGGCTGGTGGGCAGAGCTGCAGGCTGGGAGCCAGGAGGGAGCTGGATCCAAGTGCCAGCTCTGCTGCTGGGCTGCTGAGCAGACTTGGGCGAGTCTCTGTGCTGTTCCCTGCCACTTAGTTTCCCTTTCTGGACATCAGGGACCGCGATCCAGCCTTTCTTGGTAAAGTGCATGGCTCAGGAGAAGGACCAGGCAGAGCTGAAGCTGTATCCTGGCCAGCTGCCAGGCTGCCCAGTCCCTCTCCTTCATGTCTGCTCACGCTGCCCTGGCGACTTGTGCAGATGCTCTGCTTTGTGCCTTGTCTCAGTCTCTGTGTCGCTGCTGCTCTTTTAAGCACCAGCTCATTGACACCTTCCACATGCTCCTTATGAAGTGCCTTTCAAGTAGCAAGCCCAGCACGGATGGTTTGAACCTCCAAAGCTGATGCAGCCACCTCCCTGGAACCCATATCACTGTTGTACCTTGGCATGGGTGAGCAGGGTGCTTGGGGGTGGCCGGGATGCAGAGGAGCCCAGCTGGGTGCAGGGGTGATGCTGTGGAGACTCAGCACCTCTCCTTGCAGGGCTGACCACCCATTGGTGCTGTGAACGTGAAACAAGGATCTTTGCTTGCCTTGTGCTGTGGCCTGTGGGTATTTCAGATCCTGGTCTGTGGTCAGGCTCATTTGGGCAAAGCTGTGGTCCTGTGTGTGGAGCCTCATGGCCATGGGGCTGTTCCCCACTGCAGCCAAAAATCGCAGCTGAGAAAGGAGACAAACCTGCCGAGAAGCAGCAGCACCGTTCCTGCCTTGAGATGCCAAAGTGAGCAGCACAAAACAGTTTTGAGGATGTGCTTTTAGTAAACACGTTCCTCGGGAACTGCTTACCAGAGCTTTACACCCATATTTCCTCCTGTGTTTTTGACGACACTACTATTTTAGGGGATTTTAATACTGTTAAACTCCCAGCTCTTGAAGTACCCTGGGCACACTTGAGCTTTAAAAGTACCCCTTAGTTTAGGGAGGTTTTTAAGTGACAAAAAAAGTGCTGTAAGTATATCCCAGGGGCAGATGGTCTGTTTTAGGGACAGCTGTGAGCGCATCGATAAAAGGTGCACCAGTCAGTTATTAAATAACCCTTCAGAGTCTGGCAATAAGCAACAATTAACAAAAAAGTTCTCTCAAGCAAGTGTCCCCTCCCGGAAAGGTGGAACCTTTGGCTGGGAGCCAAAAATGCCAATTCACGTGTCCTAAAGGAGTTTTTCCAGAAAAAAAAAAAAATACAGAAATACTGTCTGTAAGGGTGGCACAGCACAGCCCTGTCTCAGGAGTTTCCACGAGTTTATTTTTCCTGGGATTAGTTTGGTATTTACCTCCCAAAGCTTGCTTTAAAGAACTGTGGTGCTGTGTAATATATACCTAGAGAGAAAATGTATTGGGTTAGGTTCTTTGCTGGCTTAAGTGAGTCAGTGATGATACATCGATGGTTAGCAGGGATGGAAAATGGCCCGTTTAGCTAAATATGAAATATATATATATATCTATTTCCCAAAGGATATGCTGGAAATCATAATGGTATATTTAAGGGGAGCCAAGGGAAAAAAGTGAACGTGGATAAAAAGCTGAGAGGTTTAAAGTTAAAGCCACGTTTACATAAACACTGAGGCTCGAAGAGCTCCTTTACGGGAAGAGGTGTCAGTCCCAGCAACAAAAAAAAAACAGAGCCCAGGCCACTGCTGAAGGCTCTTGTTGGAGAGGCTGAAGGGTCTAAACACAGCCACTCCCTCCCCAGGGCAGGGCTGGAAGGGGGACGCCTGGGACGTGTCTGCAAATCCATTCTCCTCTTCCTCCTGCACATGCGGTGACTCCTAAAACACTGCAGGCAGTGGGAAGAGGAGAAGTAGGGCTTCCAGAGTGAAATCTTCGGATGAAATCTTGGCCTTTCC